ACAAATTCATCCACCACCTAGAAGACATCTCCGTCGATTGTCACACTTTTGCCTATGCGAGCCCTATCCCGCTCGGTTCCTCCAGCTAACAGATACTTTGTCTTCGACGTATTCACCTTTAATCCCACCTTCTCTGCTTCACGTTTCAGCCTGGTATACTGCTCCGCCATGGCCTGAAACGTTCTTCCGACAATGTCCACGTCGTCAGCGAAGCAGATGAACTGGCTGGACTTATTGAAGGTCGTACCCCGCATGTTAAAGCCCGCACATTTCATAACACTTTCTAGTGCAATGTTGAACAGGAGGCAGGAAAGACCATCGCCTTGTCGAAGTCCTTTGCGAGTTTCAAACGAGTCCGATAACGCACCCGATATCTTCACGCAGCACTGTACACCATCCATCGTACACGCTCCTTCAATGTTACTCAAAAGTGAGTAAAATTCTACTCTCTTTCGGTAAAAGTGGAACTACTCTAAAGTGAGTAAACTTATAGTTACTCACTTTTGAGTAATGCTAGCATTTGTCAAAATCAGAGTAACTTGTACTCAGTTCTGATTGGCGGTAAAAAAGCATATCTGAGTAAATGTTACTCAGTTCTTATAAAATTGAGCGTTTTTTGAAAATATGAAACATTAAAAGATAGAACAAACAATTTTATTAAAATATAAAAGAGGAGAAGTACATTTATATTTTAAAAACAATGTTTTCGGTGTCTTATGTGGCTTCTCTAAATGCAACGACGAGGCTGGTGACCGATGTTCTTCAGCGATGTCTAAAAATGTTGCATGGCATTATCATGGCAATATAAGTGAGCACAGGGATCCCAATGTCCTTCAGAAAACGCTGATGTTCTGCATTTCTATGCTGTCCACTACGTCCGATGTAACATTCCACATTAACATTTCCTAGATAGTCCTATTGTTTTTTTGATAGGTTTGAATAAGGTGCTTTTATTTTCAAATACTTCATTTTTCTTACCTTTCCAATTAACGAAACGAATCGTTATCTACCTCTGCAGCCACTTGATTCATTCCTTTATTCTAATTTTCAAAACTTCAAAGGGAAATCGGAAGTTTAATCACCGACAAATTTTTTCACTTTTGTTACAAGTATTTAACATAAGCATGGTGAGTAACATTTGTGCAGGATTACTCAGAAATGAGTAAACAATGTTTTTAGACAAACAGAGGAGAAGTTACTCACTTTGCTCAATCAATGTTACTCAGATTTTGACATTTTGTACAAAAATACCAAACTGAGTAGAAGTTACTCACTTTTGAGTAACATTGAGCGAGCGTGTAGCCCTGATCAGTCTGATCAGCTTCCCGGGAAAACCGTTCTCGTCCATAATTCTCGCATTGCTTAGGCAACTCTATCATGTCACAACTCAATCATGAATTAAATAATCAGCTGATCAAAAGCGTCTCTTAAAACGGTCTATTTAGAATTTGGCGACTGGGGTTGCCTGCCGTCAATTTTATAAATAAAATATATAAATTCTGAAACATATGATTTTTTTTTCCATTATTTTGGAACATAACAGAAATGGTGGAATCGCATACCATGAAATACAAAAATCGACATACTGGGTTTAAATTAATTTTCATGATACCGGGTAAGCATCAAGATCTCACTCAGATCTGGCTAGTTGAAGAAATTAAGTGCAAGCAGTTATCCGTTGTAGAAGATCAATTATATCCACTCCATACGTGGTATTAGACTGGCCCACATTTATACGGCGGTAATTTTTTATCATTTTTTTCTACGGTCCAACCCGTAGATTTGTGTCATTAGGTGAGAAAACCAAAAAAAAAAGGATCAGCTCATTTGGGTGTAACACGAGCTGACCCTTTTGATTTAAATTTATATAGAGATATTAGTTGAAATGTATAGAGAAATAATATTCCTTCATTCTTTCGTGCATAAAACTGGTTCAGCAAACTCGATTTAGCTCAGAATTTCAGCACACGTAGCTTTACTATAAGGAACAACTTTGCTGATTCAAGTTAGTATTATAGAGATATTTATTAATTAAGTGCCATCTGCTCGTATGTTGCAAACAAAATACAGGCAGCTTATGCAACGTATCAACTAGACTACCACTAAAAATAAAAGCTCATATTTTCCACAGGCCAGCATCTAGGCTCGTGTCTGGTGCGATATCCACTCTCTGAATCGTTCAGCTCTTTTTGACGTTACACGGGCTGGCATTTTTGGTTTAATGTTCATATAGGAGATTTGATTGAAATTTTCATATACAAAATGCTCATGTACATTCAAAAGCGAATATCTCAATAAAACTAACTGGATGCAATCTTCAGCAAAGTTGTTACTCATTCACTGAACTACAAACTATGAAATTCTGAATCAAATCGAGAATAAGGAAACTTTTTTATGGTCGAAAGAGTGTAAGGGTGTAATTTTTTCATGTATTCTATCCCAATTCCTCATACAAAATTCAAACTAAAAGCGCCAGCTCACCTTGAAGTCAATTGAGCTGAAACTTTCGAATAATGGTTTTCTCACCTAAAGGCACAAAGCTAAGGGTTGGCCTGTGCAAAATCAGAACTTTTATTTTTGTGGGCTAGTCTAATGTGTCTTGCCTTGCGTTGCGTTTTGTGTGTGTCGTGTAGTTCTTACTTTTGCACAAAAGACAACATAGAAATCAAGGTTTCAGACAACATAGAAATCAAGGTTTCAGTCATCGAACATGTTTCAAGAACTTGAGCATTTAGCAATTTTAATGATACTTGCAGTAGGTAAGTTTAAAAATGTTGAGATTTGCAAAAAATACTAGATCTCACTATTAAAAAAATCAAGAGGAGTAGGATTCAAGTATAATCGAGATTTAAAAGTATTCTTTTTTTTTCAATTAACAATTGTTCTAGATTTTTTTTCTGAATTCTAAAACTGACAAATTTATGAAATTTTAGACTCATAAAAAGTATACTAACCATTGAGAACTAGTGGAAGCTTGTTCGAGCATTAAGCATTGACTTGCAGGATGAAGGCAAATTAGACATTTTTTTTATCATCATAACGCATACATGGTGATTTCAGTGAAACATTATCGATCACAATTCAACCTTGTGACATTATAGTCGGAGTTGGAGTCTGCATATTTTCACGGAGTTCTTCTTCGACTGCTCAGCACTTTAAACTGCTTTCGATTCCGACTCCGACATCCACATTGGTTAGTGGCTAGGCGTGCATTTCAAACCTGCCCTCCTGCTACTAAGGTGTCACTTTTAACTACTTCACAGCCAAATAATCAACAAAAATGCTTTAACCATCCTTACTATTGAATATCTGTTTTACCTCCAGACCCAAATATAAAATCAATAATAAGCGTTTTTGGTACTAATTACAACATATTAAAATTCAAACATTTAATATAGTTCTTCTAAGTTTATATTTATATTTGGTAATCAATGAACATAAGTTCAACTGGAAATATTTCCAAACAGAATCTCAAAATACACAATTTTTTTTCCATAAACATCATCTTCAGCTGTGATTGGTGACTACCTCATTTGCTGTATGATCAATAAATTGCAATTCACGTGGAAATAATTATCTGCGAAAAAAACAAGCAAATCAAATTTGTATCAAAATCTATAATTATGAAATGCACATAAATGAAAACCAAGCCACTTGACTTTGCATCAATGGTGGCCGTGATGCACGTTACACAGCTACAGGTAGTTCAAATGAATGTCATAAGATTTTGACTGGCATGTGCGATCATAACTCGTTTGAAACGGTAAAGCTCGTAACACAAGCATGTGTGATAAATTGTGTCTGTGAAAAGCAAGCTAGTAAAAAAAAAAAACAATCTTAACTTTCTTCATTTTACAACCCCCTTTTTTCGGCTGGTGCCTATCAACAACACAATTGACTTTGTTGCCATTGATTTTGAATCTGAAACGATTGCCGTATAAAAAAGTGATACTTCCTACAGACAGTCGGAGATGATTTATAGAAATTATCGACACACAGACAATAAAAGGCGGGTCTGCGATTTGGTCAGTATACTCCACCGGAATAGATCAAACATTTCGAGGCGCGGAAAAATTAAGATTACATTGTTATTGCACCTTTTTATGGTTCGATAAACTGTTTTGTGGTGAGGTAATAGATCGAGTGAGGCTTGAATTTGAGAAGAGCTTTGTTTGAGTCGATACACTTCACATTGAGAGAGAGGGCTGAAGGAGGTATACATAAGTGAAATCGTTAAACATTACTTGGCGCAGCTTTTAGGTACTTTCATAATAATTCACACACGAAAATATATTTCGGCATGTATAAATGGACATAGCCTCACTTGAACTTCCGGATCAGTGTTGTACATGTACATGCTGTGATTTATTTTTGTCTGGCACTTTTAATGTCTGTTAACGCGTGCCATTAGTAGGTACGTTTCAGTATGCATGCTGTCTTGTGTGAGATAAGTAATTGTTTACGATCGCCCTATATTGCTTTCGATTAATAATTATGCGCTGAAACAGAAAAACGTACAACATCAGCCACCAGAAATCAATATATATTTTTAAGCAAAATATATCTTTATTTTGAAATCCAGTATAGAACCTCAGAGACGTTTAGAAGAACTAAAGAAAAATTCAGGCAGTCCCCGGAGAAACCCAATGATTTAGATAGTTCATTAAATTTTATGCGATTTCGAACTAGGAAGTTATGGCATACTTCATTGAATATCTATGAGCTTCTGAAAAAAAGATCAAGGAACCTGAGATACCTAGTTGCTGTAAGGTTGTCAGTGGCTACATAGGGAAATTCGTTCTCTTGAAATTCTTACATTATGAACCTGTCCCATTATATCTCCCTTTTTCCAGTGTAATATTTTGTACCACATTAAATTGTGTGTTTACATGAGCTATAATTCTAGTAAATTTATTATGATGCATATACAACAAACATCAAATTCTACGTTTAGTTTAAATAATAATGCGTCTATAATGTCTGTTTTTATTCATTTTCAGATATTAGTAGTGGCGCTACTAGCGTCACCGGCATTGTCGATAAATGCTGAAAAACGACGGGCATTTTACCGAAAAACAACTACGACAAGTACTGCAGCACCCGTCGTGGAGGATAATTCCAGTTCGGAATCCAAGTTTACCGATAACAAAGGTGAAGGTCTGTATACTGTCGCCGACTCGTTTATCATCGGAGGAGGTTCCTCTTCGTCCTCGCCTGGGGACAGCGTTGGCAAGGGAAGCGTCTTCAAGCCAATTACCAGCAGTGGCGATAAATTGACAGTAACGAAATATTTATCTAAATTTTATTGTTACCAACAATAGTAATAATGTGGTTTGTTTTTCTTTCAGTCGTTCTCGGAATACAATTTTGGCAGTACGAAGCTATCCGAACCCAATGACTCTGGCTCGGACGAAGATTATGTAATAAACCTCAAAAACATCAAGCCCTTGAAGCCATCCTCGAACTCCAACAGCTATAAACCCAGCGGATCGTTTGACTTTCTGAACAATGACTTTTCCAAATCCTCCTTGGACAGTAAAACGAAATCCTCCTTCACCAATAAATTCTCCATTTCTCACCCCACCCCCACGAAATCATCCGTGACGGGTAAGCTAGACCATCTGGACGATTCGACCGAGTATGAAATATACTCTAGCTTAAAGTCCGCCAATAGCTACAAATCCTCTCCTAAGAATTCCAGACAGACAATTCTACCACTTGGGACTTTTTCAGGTACATCTCTGAACTTCGACGGTAAGGTTAAGAAGCTGCCCTCTTATTCTTTTGACGACTCTGCATTAGCATCGTACACTTCCAACAAGAACAAGAAGAACAAACTTTCCCTAGACGATGACACGTTTGGAGGCGGCAGTTCATTCGGACTCAATAGCAATTTTGGTGTCGGTAAGCAAGAGAACCCGTTTACTAGTAGTGGTAAACTTAAAAATCCTTATGGATTCGGTGAACCACCACTAGTCAAATCTGCTATATCGACACTGAAAAATTTTGGCTCAGGACTTTTAGGTAAACCAGAGAAACAATCTTCCTCCCTTTATGGCATTGACAGTGAAGAGAGTGGTTTTGGAAGTTCAAATTTCAAACCATTTGGCAAGGGTAGTAGCGGTAGCAGCAGTAGTAGCTTCAAAAATACATTCAACCTAGACAGCAGTGAAGAATCTGAAGAGATTTTTTCCAAGCCCAAATTTCCAAAACTGCACTCATCCTATGGCACTAAACTGAAGTCCCACAACACTGAGTATGAAAGCGACTTCGATGTGAAAAACATCAAGCTGCCAGGAGCTCTCACCAAGTTCAGACCCAACACGTTTACTAAACCCTCCCAACACAAAAACAAACAACACGGTTCCGACATTGACAATCCTAACCCGCTTGAGTTCCGACCTAACTTCAAATTGCAAGATGTACCCAATCTGTATCCCGATGATCATATAGGTGCCGGAATCGCAGCTAAAGGTCAGATCGAAAACTTCTTGAACGCAGAACATTCATTCCGGAACGAACCAATCCGAACGACGCACTTCCTCGACGGCCACCCTGGTAAGAAGGGCCAATACCAGCAATTCTTGAAGTCTCAAGAAGACGAGCAATTTGAAAAGGAAGCGTTGAAGGCACAGATCGAATACTTAAAAGCACAAGCTGCGAAGCGTCCATCTGAAGGAAGACAGCGTCCATCTGGTCCACCAATTTCCATTAAACACGGCCCAGTACCACCACGTGGACGTCCTGTTCGTCGTATCCCTCCACTGGGCCCTCTAGGCGCTAAACAATCCCGACCACCAGCGAGGATTCCACACTACAACGACAGACCGTACAGTATAAGTTTCAAACTCTAAATAATTGTTGAGCCAAACCACCGTAGACGGAAAAAAGCAGGGTCGTCCGATCCTTAGTGCAATTGGCCTTGTTTTACCTGTAGTCGAATACGTTAGGATTAGTTTATTTATTAACAGTAGTCATTAGTAAGGCAATTTTAGATGTGAATGAAAATACAACATGGACCAAACTTTCAAATCGAACAGTTAGTATTTTTTTCCAAAAGAAAATTTACCCCTATTATGCAACTTTTGTTGTTAGTATTTTTATATGTAAGTCTGTATGTAGGTACCAAGTAAATATTTAATGCAAAATAGTAAATTTTGCTCATTCCATTTAAAATTGGATTATTCAATTGACCAATTATAACGATTATTGAATAAACGTTAATCAGCTAAGAGTTCTTAGACTGTGGATCATTTATATCAAGAGCATGAGCATGATTGACCGCTCCAGATGAATGTGGGCGTCCATAGTGAAATAGAAAGAAAATGAGAAGGATTAGTAATTTAAAACAATAAACTAATGCCACAAAATATGTAAGATCATAAACAATGGAAATAAAAATACATTTTAGTATTAGTAGGTTTTGTTATTTCCATTTAATAAAGCTATGTCCATTTAGAATCCGGAATAATAAAATCATCTGTATCTCGGTAACGGATTGACGTACAAATACGGTTAATGCATCAAAACAAAGGTAATTCACTATACTTTTAGGAAAAAAATATCTATACAAATCGTTTCTCTTCGTTTCTAATGGAAATTCGCACTTTCTTCTTTATTCCTCCCATTAAACGCTGCACACCTCATCTGAATCGCGTCCCGATACGTTTTTCTACTTTTCTTAAGCTTCCGCTTCATTATTGCCCAAAATCTCTCGATGGGCCGGATTTATGTTTTTATCGATGAAATCTACGTTATTATCGCGGTACCACTGGATGACTTCCCGGCTGTAGTGGCAACTCGCCAAATCTGGCCAAAACTTCACAGGACCTTTATGGGCTTTAATGAAAGGTAGTACGCGGTTTTTGAGGCATTCTTCCTTGTACAGCTTCGAGTCCATCGTCTTATTCGTCACGAACACTTTGGTCTTTGCTACGCAGCTGCATATCCCTTGCCAAATCATCAGTTTTTTTTTTGGAAAATTTGTCCATAAAAGCAAACTTAAACTTCGCAGGAACATCTCCTCGTGCCGTCGCCATGTAGAATTTTTGGCCAGGAAGCTCAAAACCTGCTGGTAAAATTTCCGAGCTCGAGTTTTGGTGACGAAACATTGCTTCAACGTTCTGTTTGGTTGCTTGCTGGCTCAATAAGAACGATATCCTGCTCGCAAACGAATTCTTCGAACGGTACTGCGAGCAGCAGCGTATTTTTGTGCGATTTGATTATCTGATAGTCCAGGGTTTGCTTTGACGGTTCTCAACACCTTCTGGTTCAGCTTGCGGTCATATGTTCCACTACAACGCTTACCTTAAGGCACTCGATCCACGCTCTTTCGCTCCTTGAAACGTTTGAGCACATCATACACGGTTGATTTGGTGATTTTCAACGTTTTTGCGATTTTTATTGCAGACCACGTTGGATTATCAACGTGGGTGTGCAGATTTTTTTCTCTCCTCTCGGCTTCCATCTGGAATAATATATGACTCACTGCACGAAACACCGTGAAATTTATACAACAGAAAGTGGGCGCCTAGGTAAACAAACCGCTGTAAAATAATTCTTGCAGCGGTCACTTTCCATGCCGCTGCAACACAATAAGTGATTCTGGATTCTAACTGGACAGAACTTTAATAGGGTAAGAGTGTAAATCTTTGGCCCTAGTGACTTCCTAATTGGTTCTATCTTAAATTTCAGTTGTATTCTTTCTTCACCAAATTTAATTCAATGCAAGGCTAGAACAAAAAGTTTACCATATATCTATGCAAATAAAACCATAAAAATTCATTTCAAATTTGAGATAATCACTATGATGATGATGATGATGATGATGATGATGATGGTCCCACTTCTTGCCCCTACAAAGGTTTGAGCTGGACGATTTATCTTTAAGATAATTAAATATACCATTTTAACCAGGTTAGCAAACAAAATTGAAGTGGTTACAGATACAGATATACATTTTCTCTAGAGTTTACAATTGCTTCATAGCGATACATATGTGGAAAAGCTTAGGCGTCCACCTTTTAGTTCACATTTTTTTTTACCTAAAATATTCATAAGTATTACAAAAAATCAGGAGTTAATGAACAATCAACAAAGCATCCACTAGCAACCCCGCAATCTAATGCTATCGTAATTTTGAGCAATGTCAGGAATGCTCACGAACCTCCGACATTTGTCAGAAAATTAACTACCAACTCGAGGTATCTTCCAAATATGCCTCAAAATTACATTGTTTTTTTTTTTACAAATGATAAAAGCCTTTGTAGACTACTTTTTTTTTAAATCTACTACTATTAAATCAAATATTAAAAATCCCATCCCATCACCATCGTTGCGAACAAAATAGTTATTGCAGTGCTATAATAACTATTAAAAAGTAATTATGACAGCTATCCATAGAAAATAATCCGTTAGAGATAACTTCGTCATATTACATAATTTGTCAATTCATAAAAAAAATCACTAGACAACCATCCTAAAGACAAATATAGAGGCAGCAAACAGTTAATTACTTTAAAAATTAACACCATACTCAAATAAACAATTCTTTGCTTCACTCACAACCATTGTAAAGCATCCAGAGAGCTGCTATTCAAACACTAGCACCAAAAACGTGAGGTCGTATCATAATAGGCATACTTAACCTACTCGAATGAAATGAAATGTAACTTTAAAACGGCGTTCTATTGAATTAAATAGCTCGGAAAGAAATATAAATTTACATACACACCTGGACCCTACCACCTATCGACCCATCAACTCATGAACCGGGGACTAACGGCATTACTTCCCTTTCGAAGGAAGACGTGATCAGAGATGTTATGTCTCAGAACATCCCGGCGGCGCTGACTGGGATTGAACCCAGGCCTGCTGGGGTGAGAGGTAATAACGCTTATCCCTACACCACCGGTGCCACTATCCTAGCCTTTTGTCATAATGATTTACTGGTAAGATTGCTGTTTGATCGTATGTGAAATTTTCCCCGCTACAACTTTTAGATTTAGATCAGGAAATATCGAGTGTAGTATGAGTTTGCAGCGAAATTTTGGGAAATGATCAGGACCTGATTTAGAATCGATTGAGCTTGGTGGAGCAAAATAGATATTTTTAACCACCCTACAGGTTATATAACGTCGCGATCCACTAATATCAAACAAATTCCGTGAAACCTACAGTATGTTGGTATTTCCTAGTACAAACCACGACAAAGAGATAATATTCGAGCGAAATGGGGTTTCCCCGCAGTATGATCATTGTCAAACAGGTTACCAATTATAACAAACTTCATCCATCGTCTCTGTACGCTTGCCACTGATCTTTCCTGCTTCATATTGAGATAGTGTAACCTGTAGGTCATAAACCAGTGAAGAAGTAAAAAATATACTCATGTAGAATGATAGTCATTCAGTGAGGTTCATAGTGGCAAGAAGGCGAAGATGGCTGCGTTAAAATATCTTGGATTATGTGTGATTATAGTGTTCTGTGGTTTACTGCAGACTGTTCATGGAGGTAGTTTTAGATTTAATTGATATGTTTCAAAGTATATGCATAAAAATGAGAAATTTTCCGTAGATTGGCACTTCAGACTAGACCGACCAATATACTACGATAACAGATTATCTACAGGACATAGAAGCTTGTCCCAGAGAGCCGAAATAAAAAGTATTCTGGCTTATGATGCAGACACATATCGGTGGGATTGGATAAATATTAGTATGCCACCTCGGAATTCACAAAATATGGGACAAGATGGAAAGACTGCCGCAGGAGAATCTTATACGACGTCTCAGGCGCCTGATAGAAAATCGATCAAACAAATCAGAGTGTACAATAGTGACACTTCAACTTGGGAATATTTGAATGTGTATGCATAAGAATCTTCTACCGAATAAGTTTTTTATAACCAATTCCTAACCAGTGCGAAACCTAACTTTTTGTCAGTGCAAACAAACGAGTAAGCTGACGTCAGTTTAAAAGACACACATAATCTGGATACCCAATCCAGCTTGGCTATAAATCAAAAATAAATTCAGTAGTCCTGTGCTTATAATTGTGGTTCATAAAAGAAGTCGTCGAAAAATACATATATACCTTTTTTTCACGACTTGTTCGTGATCGTTTATCACAGTTCACTCACAACTGTAGTCAAAGAAAGACGATAGCAGCAGTTGTATCTATCGATGTTTTTTCCTTGATTTGTTTTCCGTTGATCTTGTTTTCCGTGCTGAGCACCAATGCTACCGACGCCAGGAAGGCAGCTCCCACAACTGGACCCGACCTATATATGAAATGAAATGTAACTTTAAAACGGCGTTCTATTGAATTAAATAGCTCGGAAAGAAATATAAATTTACATACACACCTGGACCCTACCACCTATCGACCATCAACTCATGAACCGGGGACCAACGGCTTTACTTCCCTTTCAACGAGTTAGAGTACCCTCCAAAGGTGCGCACATTTGTCAGTTAAAATCCGATTCCTTAGCATCAAAATCAAGTAATGACACCGATATTGACCATGCATCAGAACCCTAGTCTAAAACACAAACTAGAGAACAACGATGGAAAATCGTCGGTTGAAAAACTGTGCGCTATTAACAAGGCATACTAAGATGTGTTCCTTTGATTACAAAAAATCCTATTCCCTTAGTTTGAAATAGTTATTACTAGGCTTCGGTGGTAGTTCTTACATCCCGTAACGCACCACGAAAAAGTAACCTTACACCGTTACTGGGCAATTAATGAATTTTGAGTTGGATGTTTAAAGCCATTGAAATGGGGAAATAAGCAAAAGTAAAGCGAGTCATCCGGGAGAAATTCTCAGTGAAGCTACGCTTCAACCTGTACACAGGTGCATTCTCACAATACAATGGGGAATATATTTTATGCCGGGAACAAAAACATGTGTTTTTATCCAGGAGGAACACCGGATGAATTTCTACCCCAAGCGAAAGGCCCGGGAGCATCCAAAAAAGCTACAATACAAAGAAGAAAAGCAACGAAACAGTGAACAAAGCGG